AATGCGCTTTATTCATAGTCTCTGATTATTTGTTGTAAAAGGGGTTCGGCCCGTTGATATGTCCTATTTGTTACGTCCCAGGCCCCAGTCGTTCAAAAGGTGAATAATACTATCCACTGGATAAAACTCTATCCAGCTGGATATGTAACGCAATTGGTGCATGTATGCCCTGACACGTGTCGGCTGGATAGATCTGGATAGTTCTTTATCCAGTGGATATGGCAGTCCAACGTTTAATTAACCCGGGCCGGGGCCGGGTCCCCCGTCTATGGTGGTTCCAATTTTGACGTTCCAAGCACGGTCTGATATGAGGTCAATAAATGTGATGAAACTTTCCTGCATATTCAAATCAAGTAAAAGTAAAACATACGGTTCCTTGTTTTACGTCGGTAGCACGTAAATAGATTACCGTCGCTATGGCTACATCAAATCGCCCCTTTCACAGCAATAGTATTTCGTTGGTGTTTATATAATAAATAGAACATTACTGACATGGCCGCGCGGAGATACGAAATCTCTCTTCCAGTGTTCAAACTATTTCACTGGCTCGCTGCGGTTGTGAAAAAACAGCCGACTTTTCGCAACGCCATGCACTAACGCGTACGGTTTCCCCTCGAAATGAAGTCTGAGGTTTGAGCGTAGAAATTCCATATTGAGACATATCCGTACCCAGATCTGGGTAGTGCTTTTGTTTGGATGAATTAAATTTCAACCAGTCGAAAGCACTCTCCAGATCACTGAGGTTACTGACACGTTATCGGTATGTAATTACCGCGCTCTTCCGTCAGAGGTCAGTTAGAGGCGTCGCCTGCGAAATGTCGGCTGGTTCTCAGGCTTATAAATTTATCCCCTCTGAAGAGGTTCTCTGACGACTTCTTGCTTGTACGCAAAGAGCTAGCGCTTGAAAGAAAACCTTAAATGAACAAATCCTGCGATATATAGTTCAGCGTCATTAATTAATTGAAAACGACCGAACAACTCACGTCCGTTCAAAGGTGAAATGATAGTTAAAACAAACCGTATCCACGGCGGGACCGCTGCAAGTGTTTTAAACTTTTTGTCCGAACAGTTTCGCAAGTACAAGAAAAATACACGATGACGGAGCCAGCCTACTCATATTCGTTCCATGTTGTTGACATCTCACCTCACACACTGGAAATCATTAAAAAACATATGTATTCATCGGCCAGAAAGACGTGATTTGCAGTCAGTTTGAGGCAAAACAATTCGGATGACCTTTTTGTTGGTTTGGCTGGAACTTTGGCTTTGAAATAGACTGTCCCTACGGTTTTCACAAGTAACGCACCCATTTCTTGCTGAACTGACAGTCTTCTGGGAATTCCGCACATCTTCAGCATTTTCATTTTTTGCAGCCGATTTCCGCAGGTGACTCCTTTTGTTGGTAACTTTGTACATCTTTAGTCCTTCCACGGTAAGATTTTCCCAGCTCTTCTGTTCCTTTAAATCAAATAATTCATGTCGTTGATAGTCTTCGTCCGTGTTTTTTACCTCTTCCTGTTTGCTTCTTTCTCTGCTCTGGACCTTGAAAGTCTCTGGCGCAAAATATTTTTCAAAACCTTCCTTCTTAGTGTCAGCTTCGTTGTGAAAATGTCGACAAAGAGAGCAGTAACTTCTTTTGTGTCTGTTTTTTTGCCCTCTACTTGAAGTTTCCTTGTTACAGAATACATAAACAAAATGGCGCGCTTCATCAAACAGCAAAGGAGAAGAAACAGGCGGAAAGCGATATGTCATGTTACCATGGAGACCAAGCTTACACTTTTTCTCGTCCATTCCCGTTGAAGCTTTGACTTGTACAATCTTGGAAATTAGAGACTGTACTTAAAGAAATATTTTTAAAAACTCAAATTAAAAATTTTTAAAGATAAGAGAAAATTTCGAAATAGTAATAACTGTAGTCCAATAAAAAATTGTAATCGCTTCTGTCCCTCAATGAAGGCCTCTGTCTGTTCAATTCGCACTCTTTCCTGATGAACCACGAAAATAACGGTCAATTATGGCGAAAATTCGAAATACTTTACGTTAAACAGCGTTTATACTTGGCAAACAAGCGTTAGACTTGGTCGATGCTAGTTCAAACACTGAGAGTAAATAACTCGCGGATTTTCTTCATTAACTCCACATCGAAACATTTTTGGGTAGCCACAAAAACGAAAGATTTAAAATGTTCTGTATGAAGCCAGATTTGAATTAAAAGCTGAGCCTCAAACCCTGTAATATAAAGGATTCATGACTGCAGCGTTGAATCGTTACGACTCCAGCAAAACTGAGAGATAATGAAATTCCCAACAGGTGCTATCCTCGATATAAAATATTTATTACCGCAGGAAGGCAAATATTATTTGTAAACTGTTGGATATGCTAACGTCGGGCATGAACGTGGTGAAGGTTAGTTTCAGTATCAAACCGAAATACTGGGTAAATAAATTACCCATTCATAGCTGTCCGATCAACTTTTCTTCAGCTTAAAGTTTTATTCTATATTACCGAGCCTGATCTACACCAAGATCCGACTTTCCCGGCTCTCTGCTGTTTGTCCAAGTGGTCTCCGCGAGAATTGTTTTCGAGTAGGAATATGATTGGCTGAACCATTTGGTATATAAATTGCTTATTAAATCAATGAATGTAGGCTAATATTGTTTGCCCACCAGAAAAATAGAAGCAGAAAACGACAAAATCAAAATTGCGAAATTGAGTCCGTTTCTTGTAGGCAGTTTGTGTTTTGTTATGATTTGTAGTACAGAAGGAACTACCGTTTCAGGGTTTCTTGATTCTCAGTGCTTGTATCATATTTTTCCACTCCGTACCACACCGTTTAAAAAACAGTCCACAAAAACGCAAAGAGCACGCACGGGTCCCCTTTAATTTGTCTTCCCTAACCCTAACTCTTAGTAACGCCCACCAAGCAAGCTACAAACGTGAACGCCGTTTGGCAAAAGAAAACATATTTTTATTTTTTACTGATTTTAGGACGCTTGGTGTTCCTTATGTAAATGGTAAAAACAGTTGCGCCTTCATCTAACCCCAAATGCTATTTTTGGGAGGTTGATTATGCCGGAACGGTATTTCTTATAGCACTTTGAAGAACTAGTGGGATCCAAAAAGAAATTAGAGTAATTTCGCTGTTTTGCTATTTCATAATAAATATTTTAAAGTTTTCTTGGAATAATTACGTTTGCATAATAATCCCAGTCTTCTTTTATATAAGTTAGAATACCCATTGTATTTTGATAGCTAGAGTCCTTTACACATTTTCGACTCACTGGTTGTTATGTGGTTGAAGTCAATAAGGATTTCTCATATGCAATCTGTACGTAACAAAACTCAGGTCCAATGCATTAAATATAGTTGGTTGTTATTACAGGAAACTCGGCTTTAGCGCTTTTTTAATTAAATCAATATCCCAACTTGAAGAGCAACTTTCCTTTGGTTCTGCGTAAAATAACATTTTCTGAGAGAAATGAAGAGCCTGACGATACAGTTCTGCGGGATTCATTGAGACCTAGCAGAAGAACTGTCTATAATAAAGATTGATTGCTTTGCGTCAGACTATCCGCTTGTTGTGACTGACAAACTTGAAAATTCAAGAAAGATCACGGTACGGTTTTCCGTTAAGATAAAAAACCTTATAAGGAGAGCCTCCTGATCGAATAACCAATCAAGAAGCTGAAAAGGGGATAGCTAAACAGAGTAAATTACATCATGTATATCAGATCAGGCTGCTTTATTTTAGCCTGCGTAGCAGGCGCTTGGAAGTAGTGGGCGAAAGACGATAACGGGCGCGCGCGAGGGAGACACGTCTCCTTCCCGCGCGCCCGTTTTTTCTTGTGCCCACTACTTCCAAGCGCCTGCTACGCAGGCTAGCTTTATTTCAAGATCATAAGAAAATCGCTCATTTCATGATATAATTACTAATTCAATAAGTTGGAAACATGATTTCTCATTTAATTGTCTCAGTGAGGTTTATTTCGTGAAATAAATATAAAACAGTTAATTTAGCTCCCTATAGATGGTCAGCCTTTCCTGCTAACCAGACATACAAGACTTCCTGGTTGTAAAATAATGAAACCATAGGGTCTAGAACACCCTCAGGAAAACTACTAATGCAAAACCCTGAGTCCCTAAAAACTTGCCGTTTTCAGCGGAATGACAATACACAACAGTTCATGCAAAATGCGCTAATGTTGTTCTTATTTGTTAATATTCACCGCATTATGTCACGATAATACGAACCTTGTCAATATTCCCATACATTTTCTGTACATTCAGTTCCAACATACGCCGGATTGGTTACTCAGTTTGCGTGGCCCCCAAGATATCTGTATGGTTTTGGTATCTGCGCATACGTCACTGAGATTTACTTGCTTATACTCTATCTTAGGTAATGTGTAGCAAGTAATTTGTCCTTTCAAGAACTCTTGGTAGTTTGTTCTTATTTTTTTTTTTTTACAAGGGTTTCACGAGTTCCTCAACTTCACTATGTGAGAAACTTCTGCCTTTGCAAGCTACAATCATCGTCTGGTGTCGGGAAGGTTGCCTTTTTTACCTCTTATTTTTTCTTCCTCCCCCCTCCCCTGGCCCAATGTTGAGCAAAACGTTAATGTTTGTGGGCGTAATTGTTCTGTTATATCCCAACATTGAATTGGGGGGTGGGGCACAGGGGATATTTAGCAAAAGAGAAAACTCTCCTTTTGGAGGATTAAGAGGGACTACTGTTAAGTTGTACAACCTTCCCAACTACTTTTGTCTGTGATTGTAGGTCTGCTTTGTAGAATTTGTTGTTATAATTATTATCTCAAGATTGTCCTCAGTGACTTCAACGTCCTCTTCGTTTCGTTTATGCAGCAAATTGCTAGAAGCGGTGTAAAAACTAGCAGCTCTGCTATCACACATCATGTTTTAGTGCCTTAATAAATCTTTGTCACAGCTAGTCAACTTTTACATCATTTGACCCCAACATGATCCTGTAGTTTGGGGAGCCTTCAGGCAATGATCATTGCTTGGTCTCCTCTAAAACGAATCAATACAGCTTGTTTAATTGTCCGGTAAATAGCAATCCATGTATTTCTCATTTCTGTGTTGAAGCCAGCGTATATAAAAACGTTGATACAGGCGTTCGCGTACGCCATAAACACGGTTACCTTGACAACAGTGAGAGGCGTACATGAAGGACAACCCAATAGACTGATAATGTCAATCACTGTGATTGGCGTTGTCAAAAACACAAAGATACCGACTACGATTAGAACAATCTTCGTCGCCCTTCGCTCCCTATTGCTGCCGGCTCTCGGTTTTTGTACTTGGTCGGCAGCACTAGTCGGGTCGCTGTCAGCATAGGATCGGAAGGTTGAGACCTCAGTCGCTGCAGTCTCCTTGTAGATCACAGATGGTCCCTCCGTTGAAGATGCTGCATGGTGATTGCTGTTAATAATGCGACGGATTTGTCTTCTGGCAGTTTTTAGGATGAAATAGTTGGTAAATGCCAGTATTAGGATCACAGCTAAATTGACGATGGAAAATAACACAAAGAGGTATTCTCTGCTCAGCGTGGTGGAATACAAGCAGATCTCAGTCACTTCAGCAGTAACAGCAGCTCCCCATCCCATAATAGGCAAGAAGGCGATGATGAAAATGATCACCCAAGAAACCGCGACAATAAGAGCCAGTCTCCAATGTACAGCGAAGAGAGGGTATAGAAAAGGCTTTTTCAATGCAAAATATCGATCAAGGCTTATCAGAGTCAAGTTAAAGTTTGAAGCACCGAAGAAAAACACAGTTAAAGGTATAACAACCAGGCATGGTATTAATGGTTTTTTGCCAGTTTGATTGAGTTGATCGGCAAGACGAAGCGGCATGGCAATAGCTCCTTGAAGCATATCAGCTACAGCTAGGTTAAGGAAAAGAAAATTGCACACCGTACGAAGTCTTCTGTTCCACAAGATCGCAACGATCACCAGCAAATTGCCGAAAACAGCCACAATGGATACAGTTAACATAAAGATGGACGTTAAAATGGTTTCCAGCGAGTATGAAGTCATTTCTAGCGAGTGTTCCTCAGGTTTCAGCTACATTAAGGATATTTCCTGTTTGCTGATTGAATACTCTAAGGTAAAGATCGTACAGCTCTCTTCCTAATGAAGCCGGAGGTTTTTACAGCACATGTGCTTCCGCTGTTGAAGGAAAAGATGAATATTAAACTTGTGTGAACTACGTTTTTAAGAACATTATCTTACATCACAATGAGTGTGATATCATTTCCTTGTCACAAAGAAAAAGATATAAAACAATTTCCTTTTGCAGTAAACTATGAATATCAATTCTGTCAATACTTGTTCCGGAAATTTGGACTGGATTGACATGAAATGCCTTTGTTCATTTCCTGAGTATTTTTTATATGAGGATAATTCTACTTGGCTGTGTTTTGCTGATGCTGATGATAAACCACCATCCAAAGAAGACCAGCGACTTCTTAAAGATGTTAGTCATTTAGTAATTACACCAAAAATGGAAAGTCAGTTATTTAAGCTGAACACACGTTTTGAAGTACATAATGTTGTTTGTTCCTGTTTTTAATTGACCATTATAAGCACTCCTTTCCCTTTTTTGCGCGGCTTAACGTTTTCCCGCCGTTATAGAAAAAAAATCATATTACTTTTGAATAAAACAACACCGGTATTGCTTTTTTGGTTGCCGCCGAGCTGCCTGTCATTTCAAGGAGAAACCCAACGAAGAAATTACTTAAAGCCACAGAGATCTAAAATGTGTGCTGCGTGTTGGTCATTAACGATCTATTGAGAACTTGGGATCCCAGTACATCTTAGCGATTTTGAATAACCCATTACTTTATCATATGCGCAGCTGGAGAGGTTTTAGAAATCAAAACAAAAACAAAGTTTTGTGGTACAAAGATAAGCCGAACTATTATATTGCTGCAAAAACTTTGTTCTCTGGTAATACTTTTGCTACTGACGCAGGTTCGGTGACAATCATTAGGTTACGTTTAGGTAATCAATCCTTTCCACACCAAGCGGTCAACAGCTCAAAACTCGCGCCCTCTCCAAACCAGACCTTTTAAATTTCAAACGACACAATTCTGCAGGCTGCAAATACAAAATAATCTTGAAATGATTATTACTGCACTAGCGAATGACGAAAAACCCCTGATTTATGTTAAAATAATCAGTTTTGTACGCTTTGGAAAGTTCTCACGGCGACCCGCCATATACAAGATTCATAATATGCAAAAACGCCTTAGAAAAAAAAAACAGAATGCAGCACTACAAATGAGTTTTTATGATACAATAACAACATTTTCAGCTGTAATAGCTTTGATAAACATTACATTTACGCTCTTTTTATGTCCTCATTATTAAAGCTCTGTAAATCAACGCATTTCCCATGAACGTCATACAACTCACTTATTTTTAATATAGCTATTACGGATCCGTTGTAGAGGTCATAACCGAGAGAAATGAATGCCAAATGAGTCATTAGCCGTTAGACTGCTTATTTCAACGCTGAGTTCAAGTAAAGATTTCCGCTTTACTGAATACTGACAAGGCGCTCAGCTCAGTGTATTCCAGTAATTAGTGTGAGAGCAACGTACAGGCGCTGATCCACACCGATTTCCACCGTTTTAAGGAAATCGGTTAGATTTTACATAATGAATATGTTTTTAAAAGTAGGTTGAGTTTGATCGGAAAAAACTTCCAAGTTGAAACGTTGCTCCCGGCATATCCAACATAAAACATGGAAATTTACCTTGATGATAATCCGCTGATTTGCAAGGCTTCATCCGAAGAGAATGGAACTGCTCAATATCCTGTCTGAATGACTCAGAACCCAAGGAGAGGGGAATTTAGGGAGTTCAAATCTAAAAAATTCTCCCCCTCCCCGCCTCTCCCCCGGGAAGCTTGCACCTTCGGCTCTCGTTTAGGAAATCGTTCTTAATCTTTTAACAAAAATATAATCGTTTTCGGACTCAAAATCTCAATTTAAAAGCGGAAGCACCCTACGGCAGGCATCTCTAACGCGGGATCTGAAACCGCTACATCGATCAATATGAATCCTTTTGCCAAGGATAACGATGTTTGAAAAATAATTCACAGTCCTCGAAAAAAAGAGGAATTACATTTTCATCGAAAACTGGAATCTTTTCTTATTTATAGATTAAATCATGTCAGATTACATTCGGTAACAGGCTGATGCATTTATACAATGATGCTCAATGTTGAATATTCCAAACCTGATAAACTAGCACAACCATTTTTTTTCTTATCTTTAGCCAGACTGAACTATTTATCAGAAAAATTCGTTAAAAACTTTGCCATTTTTTTTGCTCATTCACTCTTTGTTTGTTTATTGTTGTTGTTTTTTTTGTTTTCCATCCATTCTTTCATTAATCCATCCATCCATCCATCCATTCATTCATTCAGTTAGTCAGTCAGCCATGCCAGTCAGTCATTCGTTTATTTGCTCATTCACTCATTCAGTCGTTCATTTACCTGTGTCAAACTCTTATTTTGTACCAATCTGTACCAATCTGTAATCGGAACTCTTCCGAAATAGACATCCAAGTATTATAGCCGAAATAGCGCTGCCAGCCCCGTTGAGCAATGATTCTAGTGTAATTGATGAGTTGTAAAACGACGACAGAACCAACGAGTAAACATTACTTTCACTGTTGTAAGTTTCTCTTGAGTCTGGTTTGCTGAGAATGAAAATTCACGAGCGAGCAGTTGTCTTATCATGCCAATTTAAAACAGTGAAATTAATTATAGGTCTAATGTGCAGTTAATTCATCTTGTTGTTGAACTTTCATGCACATAAGAATGAAATGCAAATCTTATTTTGTTTAAGACCGATTTACTCTTATAACTATTCGTTAACAAGTTAATTTTTTGCGATTTCACTCCCATTAGGCAGCTCAGCGATACATTATAAGGGACGGATCATTAGAAAACTTATGGGGGCGGGGGGCAAACTTGAAATACAAAAAAAATATTCGTGTGAGGGAAAATTAAATGAAAAAAATTAATGCACGCCAATTAATCCTAAAAAATATCCATGCTATGGCCTAAAAAAAATTCATACAAGGAATTTGATAACGAAAAATAAATTCCTGCGGCTCGAAAACTCCCCTACCTCCCCCCGATAACTTTTCTAATGGTCCGTCCCTAATAATCATAATGTCGACTGGATGCCTCAGTCCATTCTATCCATTATCAACTGTGTAAATTAAGCTTAATAATGACGGCAGACAGACGTCGAAACTTAAGTGTTTCTATCCGTAATCTTTCGTTCCAAGTGTTTGTCAAAATTTTTAGTCATGAAGCAAAGTTATTTGTCTCTCAGCATTTCTCTTAGCCCAGTCTCAACCTCTCTCTGTCACGCTCGGTCGAGGTGTAGGGTCCAGGGAAACAGCAATTCTAGCTACGACTTTCTGACTAAAGAGGAGAACTAGGTGTTGTGATCTCAGCGGCTCTACATCAGCTGCAACAAATTGTTTCACAGTATGACGCGCCGGTTGTTTCAGTAATTTCCTTATTTAATGAAGGAGCTTCAAAGTAAACATTGGAGTTCACCAGGGCTAAAAAGAATACTTTTTAAAACTCTGTATCACAGGGTTAGGGAATTGCAAGACGCCTTTTTGGTTTAGGATGATTATAATTTGTCAATTCACGATGTCTCTGTCTATTATCTGATCAAAAATATTCCTGGTTAAACTTGGTCAGACCCGGCGTATGCTAAACGGCCATAACAAGTGGAATAGCAAATATTTATCCCGTCTCTTTTCTTTTAACTGAGTACAGTACGAATTTCAAAATTTAGAGTCAGATACTGCTACAGACATGATCAAGTACTTGCCTTTTTTCATCGTAGAAATACCAAGAGCGATAATGGGACTTGGGAATACCCAATGTTCACGACGCCAATATCTGGATTACTGATTAAACATTTTGAGATCTCTAAGAAACATTTTGCCCCCCTGATGGAACGTTTGCACAATAAATCATATAATAGTGATGTTTTAACAACAAATTCGCTGTTGTTTATCATGCTAATAGGGGAAAGGAATTAATTCGCTCCTCCGAGTGAAACAAAATAGCGAAAGCAGAGGCTTTGCCAACAATACACTGTCATTTGTCATGATGACGTACAAACAGTGACAAGAGCCTTCTTTCAATTTTAAAAGATTATTACCTCGAAATTTATGAACTTTACCCTGATGTTATATGATGAAAAATACGGTATTTGTTTTCCCGTTTCTAGTAGAATAGTCAGAATGAAAGAACAACACATGGGTTGCCTCTTGGTTATCTAAACGAAAAGCACTTGCAATAGCAGGTTGGAACTTCATGCGGTAAATCTTTCTTACACTTTAAAGCGACGAATTCAATTGTATTAGCTAATACTAACAGCTCAATTTGAGAAGAAAATGCCTTGTTTACGTAGACTCAGGAACTGAACGTACAAAAAAAAATCACAAAACCAGTAACCGCGCTTGGGAAAGTTACCTACCGATTTCAGAAAATGTTCTTGCAACTGACCGATTAGTCAACTGGGTTGTTGAACTTCTTATTCCCAACATGCCGCTTTCCTTTTATCTTTTTTATTTCACAATGTACAATTAAAATGACAAATATTTTGTTTGACAAGACGCCATTATTAATCGTTCGCTACTGAGACGGAAAGGAAGTCATCATTTTAAGTTATTAATTCATGCCTGCAAAATTAAACGAGCAAAACGTCGTTGAATAAACTTAGGAATTATCTCGTAGGCCATATTAAAAAGTGTGTAGTAAAACTGTTGACTTAAACTTCCTCATGTAATATCACTGTCTTAAGTCTAAATGAAATGTTAACTGCCAAAATAGAACCAGATATATTTTTTCGAATGTGATGGTGATTCTAGAATCTCTAAAGTTCAATCAGTATCTTTGAATTAAATAGTTTGAAATGTCGTTATTGGGATCACTGACGCCGGCAAGAGATGTAATGTTCACTGTAATCAGGTTAAGTGCCCAGGAAATAAAATGATGCTTAAAATTATTGGTAAATGAGAAACTGATATTAAAATTTACAAAGAGTAGAATAATACTAAAAAAACAGCTAAGTACAATTCAATGTTTTTATGTCCACTTTAGTTGTCGTGCAGCGAGTCTTTCCTTAGTCAATTTCCTTTCCTGTAAATAATTATCGTGTCGGAAATAGAAAGGCCCTTTATAAATTGAACTATACTTTTGAAAGAAAATTTCAAATGTATCTTCTCGTCAACTAAATTAGCGCAACAAAAGACACTAGTCCACGTTTCCTGTTTCTCAAAAAGCTTGTCCACCCCTCTCATGTATGAGAGTCTCGCGAGAGAGTAGCAGTTATAAACCAATTGTGACTGGTGAATTTTTTTCATTTTTAGAATTGGGGTAATCATAAAACTTCTCATGAGTATGTTGACTAGGAGTATGATCGTCCGGGTGAACGTAGTCCTGAATAGGATGTTTTACTGTTGTTGTTGACAGTGATTGACGTTTCGACAACCTGACTGTGCCGAAGTCATCTTCAGAGTCATCTTCAAAGTCACTCAAGTTGGAATTTATTTTCACTAATGTGTTGAACGAGAATAGTCGTATGTTTACCTAAACAAATATATTTTAACAATTACTGGATTCGGCTTTCGTATGATATGTGAAAAATTATGCAGATTTCGGAATGTCTTCTTCCCTTCGTACACCCTCCTATATCTGCATAATTCTCCATATCATACAAAAGCCGACTCCAATAATTGCTAAAGTTAAGTAGCTTTGAGCACTGAAAAAATAAGGCACTCAATTTCAACTACAGTATTTGCCCCCTTGTAGAGTGCATAGCATAATCGGACGTCATGAAAAGTTACATTCTCTGTGACGTTTTGCGAGTTTCTTTTGTTTCGTCTCGCGGTTTTTCTGGATTTGTTAAAAATCCGGCGGCTGGTTCCAACTCATCGCCGGTGTTTCTGATGACCGAAATCCTGTTAAGTTTGTTTGCAGATTAAAGATTCTACCGAGTATATTCCTGAGTCAAGCTAGCAGGTTGGAGGAAAGTTAGTGAGGATATCTCCTGAAAATTTGAGATTATAAAAAAAGAAAATTTCTGCTTAGGATGACCGATGCCGAAATGATTCAAACTTTACCAAAAAATTGAAGCTTTTCAACTTTAGGGTCACCACATCATGACTTTCTCTTTTTTTCGTTCAGCTGAGTTTGCTGAAATCTAAATTGTCACCAACAGACCTGAGTGTTGTCCAGTATAAGTTGCCATACCTAATCAAGGACAAAATTAAAGTAAAAGTGCTAGTACACACATTTTCAGAACTCACTTCCAAATTCCTGTATTTGATCATTAAATGAAGAAATAAGTTTTCGTCACTATCTTGTTTTGAAAGCTCCACCTTGGAGAATTCAGCTCCAAGATTTCTGAGGAATGTGCATGTATACCTGAAATTGCCTGAAATGTTAGTTTATTTACTTGCGCGTGACATCGCCTGGCTGACGTGTTAGCTAGGCGGCGGTCTGCTTTTCGTGAGGCTTAACTTAGAGTTTCTTCTTCGTCTCTGAGCTTTCCATTCCCAAACTTGCCTCCAAAAAAAAACCTCGATATGATAAGAACCTTGACATTAATCTTAATAATCTTAATGGCAGTGTTCTCATTATTTCTTCTCAAAATTCGTGGAAGAAAAAAGGGACTATTATAGGCTTTTTATACAAGAACGAATCGACTTGACAGAGTACAATTCTTCGCGTAGAGGACTACTGATAACAATGTCTATAACCATATATCAATGTTCTAGCTAAGTGACATTTCGAGACGATAAGGGCCTCTTAACATAAAGAATTATTTTTATATGAAGAGTCTCTCAAAACTTGTGGTTAATATTTTAGGAGGCGTGTTTCTTTTTTTTTTTTGTAAATTTTATACACTGTAAATAATATATTTGTTATATTAGTCGTTCTAAGAGTTTCTTGACACTTGAATAAAATTCATAATCATCAACAATCTCGAACCAAACTGATTCATGGATTCGCATCGATTTATAGCTTCCTTCATTCACTTCTTCATTTGATGTTAATCTATCCTTGTACCTTACATGCCAATTTTATGTCATTCAATTATTTTTTGTGTTAATAATCATTACTTAATATGCTGTTGTACACAGCAAAGCCGCCATAAAAAGATCTTATCCAATTACGTTAGTGGGAAGAGTCAAAAGATCGACGTAAAATGCCCCACCCTTTTTTAGTTATCTCTCTGACTTTGCTACTAAAATGCTGCATAGAAAATTGAAGCTATTGATTAAATGTCAACAAACACTTGACTGTTGTCAATACGTCTCTAACAAAGCCTCGTATATTGCCAAAGGCAAGGCCAGGGATAATTATTCAATCAACTTGTTCGGTTCATCAGTCGAACCAATACAAGTTGTTTTTCCACAGGGGATGGAATAGACTTAAAATAAGCGAAGGATAAGAGAATAAAAGTTCCCAGAAGCGATCGCTTCAATTTTTTTTTCCGGCCACCAAGGTAATTAGGGCTCAATTCGCGGAGCCAGATCAGAATTCACTTTCCACTTCATCGCAATTCACAAATATGATTTATTTCACCTATCATTTTCAAAGTAAATCCAGGCCGCTATACACTGAGGACTTCTTCGTGCTACTCGGGTCGGCCAAAGAGGTTTATTCGACTTATCTATTCTTTTGCGTTTTTTAGTATTACGGTTTTATTGATATTTCTAAAGGTTTCACCAGATAATAGTCAATATTATCAGTTCTGGATATCTGTAGGCATCAAAGAGCGAGAGAAGATTAGTCATATTAAATAAGATGAAGTTATCTCTGTGTTTCTAGTACACTTTATTCGACACCCGCACGCACTTAATTTCAATAAATTTCATTTGGTCATACAAATTCTGGAGCCTGATTTCTTCCTATGTATACAATAGAAAGATAATTTCCGGAATTAATTGTTTTTAAAACGTGATGCAAAAAATGACCTGAGACAATCAATATATCGATCATGAACAGCCGCGGGACACAGTTCTGTTTATCAATATAATTACAAAGTAAGCACGTACATGTTCCGCCGAGTTTTCAATTACCGTAACCAGGAGCCCTTAACCCATCTTACTTGATCTTATTCCCTTAGTATCAACGCTTCTGTTACGAAGAAAAGCACTGCCAAGAGAGTACTTTTTACTGTAATCATCCATGAAGAGCTTTTATTCTCTGTGGTACTTGTTTGCCATGCAGTCGTTATTGATACACACTCACTTTATACTCAGTCGGGGGGTGAATGAAAAACTGAAAAAATGAGGGTCAGGAACTTCAACCGTACTTATATACAGTCCTAAGGATTTTATTGTGGCGGATACTGTCAGTTCGGCAGTTTTTAATTCATAAATATGTTATTCCTCCCTCACTTAAAAATCCAGAAGGCTTAAGGCAAACTGATAATCATCAGATGTATGCGCAACCATGTTTTTAAAATTCTTTAAAACTTACTTTATAGGGTATGCGGTTGTATGGTCTCAATATACTTACCAGCTAGTCGAAGACTTCGTTTTCTACATCAGCTTACGGTTAGACTTGTTAGACTGTGCTTTCAAAGTCTTTCTTTCTTTCTTTATCCTTTTTTCTTCTTTGTAAATATCGTTCGTCACCAATCAAACAAATTAAAATGAAGAGATAGCAAGAGGCTTGCCTTTTTTATCTGTTTTGTGACACTTTCGACAGCTTTTTGATCGATAGTTCCTACTTTTCTTCAGTGATAGAAATTAAGTGCAAAGTTGAGTACAGATCAGTCCGTAAGCCGAGATAAATTATGCAGAAAATATATGGCCTTAAATCTGTCGTGCTCCCTAATGTCCTTTACAAAGCATAAAGTTCTCGTTAAATGAAATTATGCTCTGAAATTTTTTTTTTCCTCTCGGTACGACTGGATAATTCAAATCGCACTCTAGTTGACTTTAGGTGGTCACGTGACGATTACCGTGCGAACCTACCAGTCCTTGCTTGTAATGTTGTTGCATCAAAAGTTGAGCGGGAAGTTGAATACAGGGTGTTTTAGCTCAGTCATCAGTAAGTACATACCCATTCTGAAATGAATTTGGTTTGTGTGAGTTCTTCAGCATCGTTCCCAGGGCTTTTAACCTCTCTCATTTTCTAAGGGAAAAACCCTGGGGAAGAGTTTGTCAATTCGTCAACTTCTAATATTTGTATCAGCCACAATGTATATCGTATCTTCAAGTTACCGATTTTTTTCTTCATTATGCCATTTTCGAAATTGAAGTCTTCTGTTGACGGAAGATAATAGATAATGCCCTGCCACATGCATGGAAACCAATGAGGATAAATCGTCTGCAAAAAATAATTCGCTAACCAGTATTTTAAGAGTAGTGAAAATAACAAAACACGGTTTTCTCCACCATCGAAAACGAAATTCTGCTTTCTATCATCGAAGCTCTTTTCTATGGAGCTAATTAAATTATTTAATTTATTTTCATGTTCAACATTACCCGGTTGTACTGTGTGATAGCGCCAAGTGATCTTTTCCTGCATCAATATACTGCGGAAAATCATCTTTGAAAAGTTGAGGATCAATCTTCAAATTATTACAATAGAACACAATACAAATTTTATTGTCAACTCCCCATGGGAGCTTTTCAGAGACAAGTATTAATAGTACAGGTAATCAAAAATAAAAATGAATAAATAAAGAAAGAAAAAAAGGAAAAAAAAGTATCGCAAGTTGATTATCAATAAACTATTAAGAAACTATTTACATATAAATTTATGACATTAAAAATTGATTTAAAGGGAAGGCTTTCATTTTACGTTTAAAAATGATAAGAGATTCACTTAATTTAAAATGGGGTTTTAACGCATTCCACAACGTTACAGTTCTGTAATAAAAAGATCTCTGTCCCGACTTGGTTTTAAAAAGCGGTATATTAAGCTGGGAAGATGATCTGGTCGTCCGACCACTGATATTCTCTCTGGAGATAAAATTTGAACTGAGGTAGTTTGGTACCTGACCTGTCATAGATTAAAGGCTAAGATGGCGTCTCTTAGACACAGGTGGGACGTAACTGGTATCCATCTCAGGTCTTTCAGGGCTGCAGATACGTGATCAAACTTCCTTGTCCCACAAACTATGCGAGCAGCGATATTCTGTACTCCTTGTAGTTTGCGTATATTGCCGGCAGAAGTGTTCGACCAGACGGACGAGCAGTAATACAACTTACTAAACACGAGAGAATTAATTATTGTAACAAGTATGTCTTTTCTAAATATAGAAGACTTTTTCTTCACAGATTTTCTGGGGATACATGATCGTATCGTTTTCCAGACGCACCTTGGATTATTGGGATTGTTTCTAATCTGGTTTTCAACATGTTCCCGTTGAGCTAATCTTAATTCACGCTTAACTGGCAGCCCAGTCCGGGGGATCGTTAGACTTCCTTGCGATCTTTCTCCAGTAATCTTTAGTTCTAATTAAGGAGCGGATCTCATCGTTGACGCGTGGGTTTGGTCGGCTTCGCAATTTAATTTTTTTAATAGGCGCATGGTCGTCTAGGAGTGGGTTGAACAATAGGTTGAAAGCATTTAGTTTATCATCTACGTCCTCAAAACAATCGATAACCGACCATGGAACGCAGTTCAAATCGACCAGAAAGGATTCAGGGACGAAGTCTTTATAACTTCTAGTAGTTACTTAAACCGGCTTGGACGCTTCTTCTTTTAGCCCCAGCGAAATGAAGACCAGATCGTGATCGCTAAATGGAGCAGGTACAACCTTTGCATCTCTTATGAGACTTGTGTTTGAACCGAGGAAAACGTCGATTAAAGTCTCTGATGTCTCTTTTATCCTTGTAGGCTGTTTAATTACTTGGGTCAGATTGAAAATTGAACAAAAATTCATGACCGCCAGAGATCCATGATCTTGGGGGTTTAGCAAGTTACAATTTAGGTCTCCTAGGACGTAGACATCGTGGTTTAGCGATAATGCCGAGATAAGAGCATCGCTGAACTCAGCGTCAAAACAATTTAAATCAGAGTGAGGCGGTCTATATACTATGCAAATAACAATAGACTTGCAACGACCAACCTGTTATTCACGATTTGTTTGTATTTTTTTGTTTTCTTCGTTTTTCGGCCGATATGATTCAAAGAAATTAAAGGACCTGAACTAATTTTACCTTGCTTGATCGTTGTGAGAGAACATTCAGTAATTCGATTTTAATCTCATTGAGGTCATTTCTGGAGAACAAGACCGGCGCCCTGCTAAACGCGTTTAAAGCCGCTTTCTAGTCAGCATGGAACAAAAATGGTTAAAGTAGAGGAATCGTCGGCTAAACCCAGTGAGATAAAGCTAGATTGAAAAAAGGATTCTCACTTCATTTCTTTTTGGTATTATTTCTTTTATAATATAGTTTTAACGATTGTTCGAGGTAATAATCACAATCTTGGAAGTGGAAATCTATATTTACAACTGAAAGAAGAGAAAAAAAAGGCGCCAATCAAAGTGCTGCTAAATTTAATTGCCAAAATTTACATCTTCGTAGAAGGCCGTTGTTATGAAAGATGCATAGAATAACACCTTCTAGCAATTTGCGAATGTCAGAATTGTACTGATTTTCTCAAAGAAAATGCATAAATTAAGATGTTACGTAGACTTTGGAAATAACGCACCTTGACTTAGATCTTATCTCCTTGGTACAATGAATATTTCCGTGAACGAAATTATTCTGAATCCTTCGTAACTATCAGCAAAGGACATGCGCCAGGCGTGAGATTAAAACGAGGTGAGAATTACTTCTCTTTTCTTTGTGATTTCTCAGAATTTAAAAAAGGAACTGAATAAAGAATTGCGAAGGCTTGGACAGAGAATACGGACAGCAATGGCGTGATTAAAATACATCTTCACTGAGATATCTCGAGTGGGCCAGAAAATAACCGCAGCCCGCGAAAGTTGCGACCCCTATACAAGATTGCTGATTCTGAATTGGAAAGAAAGTAGTGTCATGATTGCTTGAAGATCGAGGAACTTTACGGTATTCGGCTAGATAAGCGTTATGTCCTGAAATTTACTCTGGCTTTGTTGGAAAGATTTCGACTACATTTTGGGATCAAGACTGAGACCATTTTGTTACCTTACGGGTAGGACTGTCATCCACATGGCAAAGTTTCTTCTGGGAAATACACACTCATAACGTCAGGGTGGTCACCGTAACTTTTGAACTTTGTATCACTACAGTATAGGAGCATGCAATCGATGGTTATACGTCTTTTAATCATATTTGGAATCATTTTAACAGATACACGAACAATCGAGTCAGTTTTATGTTACACTTCAGAAAATCAGAATCAATTTATTTTTAGCCCGAAGAAGTCTTCACGTTAACCTTGTCAATTTCTTCTATTGTTAATACTGCACTACAATTAAACAGGAGAGCCTATTCCATTTTAACTGCAACATCAGCATTGAATTTATTTTCATCCTCAAACCTCACAGATTTGTTCTAGCGCAGAATTACAAACGCACAAACACAAGTTAATAGAATACCGTATGCTCAAACAAAACAAAAATATCAACAGGCAAAACGTGCTCTGAAATTCTTAAAAGTATATATTATTTTAAAACCTTTTTAATGAAAATGTATACGAAATCAATTCTCCTTTAAGATACTTTATTGATGTATACCTCTTGTAATGGGCGCACCAGCAAAACAGCCAAGTTAAATACCGCGAACAAGTCGTGGGTCCCTTTTTTACAGATCATCTGGTATTCAGTTTTATCGTTTAAGTTGGAAGATCGGTGCAATTGCTTTTTCCTTTATTTTCGTTATATTCTTTCTTACTCGTTAGATCTATAGTGGGCTGGCTTTACAATTTCAATTCATAGATAAATCATTCAAAGCCTGCAGCGCAAGATTTACAGATGACAGTTTTACATCATCAAAATACCTTTTCCGATAACTACATCAGTTATTATTCACAGCACTGACTTAAAAGGTAAAAACTAAAGCCGTTCCTACCTTTCGATAAGTTGCAATTCTGCGGTCTCTTTTCAAGCTTAAGCTTTTTTACCATGAAACCACGGCGATGTATTTATACAAGTTTCGAGCCGGAGTGTCATTAGCCAGTTTACACAAGCTCTACCGAAAATTTCTTCAACATCTGGTCTTATGATATGGCAATTTAACTAATGGAATATATTGAACTGTCTAAGTAGCGTTCCGGGTAAATATATTGGACCTTAAACGCTATAATGAATTCTGATTGTTACTAGTGTGACGGATGATATCTGATTATCATTTACTCAAGCTCAAAGTCCGCAGTTAAAGATACATAACAATAGCATTGGTAAAAATGGATTATTGAATAGCTCGATATTTGAAAAAAAGCGAACACATTTTTACGTAAGCAAATTAGTTTCCTGAAAACCAAGTACAAAGGGTCATAAAGAAGCGTATTTTTTATCTTTTCGGATCACCACAATTTTCACCTTTATTTAGTTTATCCATGGATTTTCATGATAAAATCGTAAGTGAACTTATCGCGGAACATAATGTTAGAGACAATAAAGTTAATGATGGAAAAGCCGACAAGTGTGAACCTACCGTGTAAAGTAGATTTTGTCTGTGTATTGAAAGTAATTGAATTTATGCTTTTAGATAGACCATTTTGATGTTAATATATTTTATGTGCTCAAAATAATTGGAATTGAAAACTGATATAACAATTTATTGGCTCAAGTGGGTAAATAATATTTATTTAGTGATTCTGAGGATATGTGATTTTAACGAATACTAAAAACTCGCACCCCATTGGTCCAAACATAAACAGGTGTATCGTGCAACGTGCCGCGCTGTCGGACTTTCAAGTCACTTTCATTCTGTTAACCTAACTGAATGTCAGATCTCTTGATACATATACAGAACAATTTTTCATTAAAAGATTGTGAATCAAAATTATGACATGATGGTGAAGTTGCACGCGCGTGATTGCGCAAAGCGAAACGGTAGAGCTACACACTTGTCTTTTTTGTTTTTATCTTTTTATCAGTGTCCCGTAGCTTATTGTAAACGCAAAAGAGGCTGAATAAAAACGTGTTAGCCTTTAACACTTTTTTATTCATTTAAAACACAGTTATTACGCGATAAGTCATCGAACATCGATTAGAGGAGAGATTCGGGGATAAGGATCTCTGGGTAGAGTATTAGACACTGTATACACAGTTTAATGACTTTCAGAACATTCGCCACAATTTCAAAAGCTTTAAAAATTTTAATGCTGCTCGAAATTAAAAGAAATTGCCAACCATTTAGGGTACATTACACTGAGATCTTCTTCAGATTAAGTAGAAGATAACTAATGATTTTCTGCTATATTGCTTAGCTAAGAACCTAGCTTTTAACTCTCGTCATCAAGAAAAGAACGAACGATGCCGACCTACGAAGGAAAAATACATTATGATATCAGTGTATAAGGATACATGGACTGAATGGTTGCATACAGATAAGAAAAATCCCCGCACCAAATCGGCTGTACATAGACTCAACTGACTTACACACTGCTAAAGAAAACATACAGTTTCTCGTTAACCTGAGCAAATTAAGAGTATGATAGGCAAACCGCGTTACCATTTACAAAGTTTGAACAAGAAAGGAATTAAAAGGAATTATTTCTTGTAATAATAATGTGGTAAGATCGTGAAGCGGTATCATAATGGTCAGAAGCTTTCAAGCAATACATTAAGCAATAATTACAGCGTAATGAGAGGAGGCTCACGGGGGCACGAGATCGCTCACGTGCAGCCACAGGCTAGCGGCAAAAGCAGACAAATTACCCGCTAAGTAGTTGAAAGCTTACTTAAAAACAGTCAAAAAATCCTTTCATATTTAATCAGTGGAGCATGTTGACCCAGGTTGGCCAAAATCACAGTTTCAAGCAAAAAAACTATTTTATAAGTTATGTGTTTTTGAATTAACCTAGGACACTACAGCACTAATGATTCTGCATAGTCTTACTTAGGATGCTTAAGCTTTCCATTCAGGCATGACATTCGCTTTGTAACGAGAATTTCGCGTTTTTAAAATATAAAATATCAATCCAGATCAGTGAAATCCTAAGTACGATGTCTGAAGGAGATGGTTTTTTGAGCAAAAAACTCTTGGAAAAAGCCTATTTCATTTTCAAAATGACCGGTCCAGCCGACCAGATCTGACTTTTGGAAAACTCCCTTAGATTAGAAAAATGCCAACCAATTTTGAAACCAAATTTAAAAGAAACTAGTGTCTAGAAATATAACTATACATCGTTAGAAAATCATTCCGCGCCGGTCCCTGCATTCTGTAAGCAAAAAGAATCTACATCAAGCATGAGCGTAAACCCTGTATTTTCCTCTTGAACTCTGCAAAGCACCCTGGAAAAAGTCAGGTAGCGCATGCATTCCACGGCTTAGCTGACTAAAGTATGAAAACGATCTAGTTGATCTACGTTTACTAAGTGACAGAATGTAGTTGCCACGAAAATCATAGGAAGACGACCGGAGTGAAAGCAAGTTTCAAATAAGCATGAATATGAGTGAAAAACAGCCTACCATATAACAATTTAAGGAAATTCTGAACGCGCTTATTACGTAATGAAGTACAGTTGACAGTGAGTGGAAAATAGCTCTGTATGGAGACGACTAATCTCCACTGACGTATACAGGTGTTTGAAAAGTTCTTTCCGATCCAAAATTATACTTTGTGCACAGCATTTAATGCTTCTTTATAGGCAAATTTAAACTGATTCAGGCAAGAAAATTGTTCAACGCAATTTAATTCTAAAATTTGAAGCAACAACGTTTTTTTACTTTTTGAACCAAATATGCATGTGCGCCTGTTTTTTCCCGCCATATTTTCACTACCAGTTTGTAGGTTTTCTATTTTCGTATTTATTGCCGTTTTCTTTTATATTTTCTGCTCTTTCATGAAGGTAAAGGCCAACGCTGTTTGTGTTAGAACTCAGGCATCTATTTTACTGTCCGTTCTGGCCATTCAGTCAAATAATGATTGCCAAATTGTCGAAGAAGGCCGAACGATGGGTGCACAAGTAGTAAAAAAGAACACTGAAAATAAAGACTTTAGAAGACAAAGAAGGAGTGGACGGCGGATTTTTGACAAACAGTGTGAGAAATGTTTCGAAAAAGATAAGTATACGCGTAATAATTCAACAAGAAAGATAGTTAAAAAGCTCAGTTAAACTTCACACTATCAAAGTTTCAAGCACAACGATTAATGGAGATACTATGACCAACAAAGCGTAGAAAGTACTAGTCTTGCAGAGAAAAAAGTGACCGCGGCCTCGGACATGGTGTCAAAAGAATTATATATTTGCAATTTGAACTTTACACCAAAAGGCGACCAGAGGGCAGACTAACCTGATATGAACCCCTACAGACCATCCGGAGCACCGTTGACGCGAGAACGTACAAAGAACAAGCCTCCAAAACACTGCCCTGGACCAGTTGAGCCGGCGACTACGCTTCCCCTGGAGACACGCTTAGGAGACTCGTGCATTCTATACCTCACTGCTCAGAAAATGTCAGTAAAGGTAAAGGAAGACATTCTTGTTACTAATATTTCAGTTATTCAATAACAATTGAAAAAGAAACGTACTTTAGTTAGTTTTACAAAGGGTATTTCAAAGTAATCTGTGAAATTTAAGCGACGAAAAAATCGGAACGAGGTTTTGAAACACCCTATAAATCGAAATATTTTCTAAGCGGTTCATGTCTAGCTTATCCGCATCGCGCGTCCCACAAAAATACGCGACAGACTGAGTAATAATAAAAATGTGGTAAAATATACGCTTTGTAACGCTTAAGTAAGTGATTCTGTGTACTGTACCGGAAAAATTGTTGTCGAAATTGAAGCGGAACATAACAGCAAAATTGATTACTGATCATTTTGCACACATTGGATGTATGTCTAGAATTAGTGTGCCTCAGTATATATTTATTTCAGTCTATTCCAAAATCTCTAACGTGTCCTTTACTGGGAAGGAAAACCATTATCCGTATCACTGAGGACTAGAGCCTGGCGCATGCTGTCATCAACGGTAACATCCCTCATTCTCAGAGATGGTACCACTCTTTGGCCACTCGCCGACATTGTAACATACGCATGCCTCTAGAGCCACTGGATCGACATGGGACGGTTGTATACCTGCAGATGATCATCCACATAAGCATTCAACTTGGCCCTTTTGACGTGGAAGATAACTGAGGTCATCGATTAAAATGTTGAATAGCATTAGATGTAACAAACTCCCCTGCGGGGCCCTACGCTTGACGTTTCACGCTTTACACTTGACATGTCTTTCGCCTTTCGTGTGCAAGCTTGGGAACATGATCGACTTGATTTTTTTAGGCGTTCACGGACGACAGAAATCTTTGTCATAGTATTGCTTTGGCGTCGTTTCTAGTGATTACTAACATCTATTCCGACCATTTGTCCATGTCAGTGTTTGTTTTATAATTATACAAGAACAATATCTCCCCCCATGATAATACCATTTCACTTCTCCTGGCGAAAAAGTGCGCGGCTGTAGATATTTACCCTTTATTGTGCACTACAAAGCGTCATGTAAATATTAGCATAAGTGTTTCTCCTTCCATTTAATTTCACTTTTACTCATAAAAAAGGTGAGGTAGTAGGAAGTTCCTCATCATTTTGCATAGAGCAGTTCGAAGCAAATTTGTTGAAATGTCAATGTCGACCATGATAACTGTTGGACGACGGAACAGCCTTTCTATTTTCACTCGATCGACGAAAACTCATTGATAAGAACGCATGCAACATACTAGTGCAGGTTCGTGCCTTCATCATCAAAGATGTGGGAATAGAGCTCAGGCTGTGTGCAGTCTGATATCTGGAGCTGACGCAAGACCAACCCGAAATCAAGAAACTCAGTGGTACGAAATGTCATAATCCAGAAAGCTTTCTCGACCAGCGGAGAGCTCCGTATTTAAATTGCTATGTTTACCCCAAAATTTTCCTTCGATTTTCCAACCCACTTTCAATTCTTACTCACACATCCAGGTACTCGCCCCTGAGAACTGATGTAAAATATACTTTTTTTTTGTTAAAGGTGACGTTCCGGGACCCTAGCTATTACGATTTCTTGTAAGAAAAATAATGCAATAATATAAGCAAACGAAAGTACGTCATTCAAATCATCCTACTGGTTGACCGCAACTAGGAAACGCAGATTTGAGGTCGGTATTGTTCTTTTTAAAGGGGCCGAATCGTTCCTATATAAACTTGTTTACGATGATATAGGCTCTATTTCACCACCCAAGAGCAATCTGTTAATGGCTCTCGTGCCGCCATTGTTTTGTACAAGGGTCAATTTTCGTTGCACTCACTAACTTAAGATGAAAGGATCACGATTCATGAAGAAGTTTGTCGGTGAGGTGAATGGTGAATTTCTGTCTTTTGCTTCTTTTTTAGACGAGCTGTACGAACGGTAGACTTTCCCTCCCCTCCCTCAAGCAAATCACGCTTTCCAATCTCAGGCAGGTCCCACGCAAAGCATGTCCGCGCGGTTATGTACACATAGGCACATTCTTTAGATCGTAGTCAAGCAAAGTTTGACGCCGAACTTCGCAGTCCCTCAACCGATTTATTTGATCATGGCCTTTTTTTGCCCCATGAGAATTCCAAGAAGGCGAAGAAAACGTGAGTATCAAGTTTAGTTTAAGGTTGAGTGAAAATAAAAGCTTTTCTAGCTTATGGCTTTATTGTTTACACGCTCGTCTCACAGCGATTGTCAAATATCTGACAGGGTATCGAGATGAAGAACAAAAAAACAGCACTCCAAATGGAAATCCTGGTGGACGGATTACTGGCAGCAACAGTGTAGACTCACTTGTGGAATTGGGCAAGGAAGAGGAAGACAATGAGATCGAGTTTGAGCCTCGAAAGATGGTTGTTTTGCACGATTTCATTCCATGTGTCGAAGACGAGGTCGCTGTAAAGCGAGGACAACGAGTGAAATCTTTATACCAAGAAACGGACTGGATTTACATTATAACAAACGACGGCAAAGAAGGGTTTATTCCGTTTACGTATTGCGTAGAAGAAGAAGAGTACGAGAAAAGAAAAGAGAAACAGAAAGGTCTTCAAAGGAATAATTTTCGTAACGCTTCTTTCCTCGACTCGTTACAAATTCAAACAGACACCACACCGGCATTCAGTTTTAAGAAAAATAATTACGGCGATTATATCGTCAGGTTTGATTTCATTGCTTGTGACGAGAACGATATAAACGCACAGAAGGGGGATAAAGTTCGAGTTTTGAACAAGGATGACAAAGATTGGTACTGGGTGTCGAATTCTCAAGGGGTCGAAGGATTTATTCCCAAAGATTTTCTGGTTCCCTGTGACAGACTTCAAAATGGTGGTAAGTCCTTATGATTGAGTGATTCAAACATTTGAATAATTCTAGAGTTAATATCAAATCCTAGTGAAGCAGGGGCCGTGTTCTTTAAAGAACATCTCACAGTAGGAAACAGATTTTTTTGAATTGTTTAATTAGTTTCCGTGGCATTGTGTTACGCTAAATCGTCTTTTGAAAAGTGTTGATAAACAAGTTAAAAATCTAGATCAACTTAGCAAACAAATAACTTGAATTATTTTTGGAGACTGGATGATCGTAGCAGGTATTAAATATATTACACGTACTGGAGTTCATTGAAGGTCGTATTGAGCCGAGTTCATTAATGTCAGCAAAATCAATAATTCGGAAATGAATATTCAGCAAAAACAATCCAAGTATGTCATCAATTGATGGCACTCAATTAGTGTTTCTGAAAGGGAAATTATTTTTGAAATCGTCATTCTAGTTTTAAGAGAAATGTTCACGGCTAAAAAAAAGAAATTAGTTCTCTTTTGTAAAGGGTGCAATTTCTTGGTCACTTTGAATGCCAGGAAAACTTGGAAAGGAAACAGCGCTTGATTGTGTACAATGTATTAGCATAGGACGTTTGGTACAACCTTGCTACCGGATTGTTTTCATGGTTACAAAGCTGTGCTCTGCTTCTTCACTCTTTACTCAGGTGTAGGGGCAACTTTCTGCCGGGGGTTACATGTGATGGACTAGCATCCCATCGAGGAGCATTACATTGTGATGCTCTGAATTGCTAATGTTGCTTCAAAAATTGGGCCAAGCCCTACTGGACCCATTTTGGCTGTTTTTCACAACCAGTCCTGACAGATTTACACACAAAAAAAAACACGTAACATTTTGGGGAAAAATCCACTGCCAATTTCACTATGTACCTAGTACTGCTCTTTGCAGATTAAATTTGTCCCTTTCCTAAAAGTTAGCTAGTCACAATTCCATGAAAAAAAGACAATAGAGTGGGCAACAAAACTGCATTTAAAAGAGAAAGAAAAAGGCAAAAGAGAGAGTGAAATAAGTCCAAATTTTGGCTTATGTACATGCTCATTAGCCAAAAACTAATCCACAAAAGAGGAATTGGTGAAAAATGTGGTTTTCCGCCCCTTGCTGGCCAGCACCAAAGGGTTACTTTGTGGTCGATAGATAGAGTCAGGAGGGAAGTGATCTATGGGAACAAGAGAGCAGGGAAAGTCCTTCGATTTTAGAGAGTAAGAGTTAGGCAAAGTTAACATGACAACTTCTAATGCAAAACTTGTTTTAGGGTTTTTCTTTTGCGCATTATGCTCAATACATGACATGGCATGACATTGTTATGCTAGTTACGTGCTCATTTTGATAGACTGTTCTTAAAAATGGGTGCTAATGTCCTTAGCAATAAATAATATTACATTTTTCAGAATGAATTCTACTAGGGTATCACAGGAAAAAATAACAGATTCCCATTTTTGAATATTTTAGGGTATTTAAAGAATACCCACAAAAATCCCAAATTTGGAAGAGTGAGACAAGTCTCAATCAGGGAACTTGGTTGGGAATTCCCTGGTTGGGACTTGTCTTGCTTTGCCAAATTTGGGATTTTAATGGGTATTCTTTAAATACCCTAAAATATCCAAAAATGGGAATCCGTTATTTTTTCCTGTGGTACTACCTTGACTACCCTGTTCAATTAATACATACATGTACTTTTATTATGTTATTTGAGATCCCTTCAAAGTTGGTCTCCAGTTTTCCATATTTCACCTTGTGCACTTATAATGTATTTGCAGATATATATTTTTTATTTTTTAACTTATCCCTATGTTAGTTTTCTAAAATGGTATTTCACCTTTTTCAGATTCAAGTCCAGCTTCAAATCAAAGTCTTCTGAGTGGCAGTAGGACAATGTCACAGACAGAGGTTTCTCTACTGTCAACGCAAACAGGAAGTCCGTACAGAGAAACGTTATCTGACTCAGCAAGATCAAACAACAGAAGCTCATCCACAGAGCCGCTCTACCTCCTCACTCCACTAGCCAATGGGAATCGTACAAGCTCTGTTACTTCAAACAGTCAAACAAATACATTCCGTCAACGTCGTAACACCAATGAGCTTTTACTATATGGACAAGAACTTGTGTGTACTGATACTTATATAGGGAAGAAACTGGATGAACTTACCGTGCATAAGGGAGACTGGATCTATGCTGATATGAAACTCAAGGATGGGAGAGGGTGGATTTGGGCTTATTCACCTTCAAACAAGATGCAGGGGTTTGTGCCACGGTCATGTCTTCGCCCGCCTGCCACAACACCTCTCTGATTTTAGTCTGTTAGTGTAAGTTTTGAGAAAGGAGGGTTGGGGAAATGAGCTAGATATTTAAAGTTCAGAATTTGTATTTTAAGAACATAAAATTAATTTTACAGTTGGAACACTCTGATGACTTTTCTACCTGCCGAGATATATATTTTTAAAGAATAGTAATATGAAATGATTACTTACTGGCATAGCCTGCGAAGGTACTGGCAATGCTTGTCGTTTTCCAAGATGGCATTTCTTTCCTGGTTAAAAATTTGGGCTGAAAATTTAACTTTGTTATTGTTAACAATTTACTCTTTGTGGGATGTTAAAAGTTACATGTGCAGCTGGTGAATGGGACAAACTATAACTCTCAAAGAAAAATAATATATCAGTATGATTATTGTGAAATTATTATTAACATTAGTTGAGAGACTCTTGTTTTGAAGCAACTGCAATGTTTATGTGAAAGTTTTAAGTTTAGTACTGTGCTGCCTGATTTATTTTTGCCACTAACAGGAACCTTGGTAACATGTTTACCAATCTTATTAACAATTTCCTTGTCAACATGGCCAAATATAATAATGATGTTGAGCAGTATTGTTATGTAATAGAGATGTCAAAGTCTTAGTGAGATGTCTACCTCATAGAAAGACACAAAAAGTGACTGAAAATGTCAGAAATCTAGTGTCTACACGTTTATAGAATTGTCCATCAAGACAGAGCATGCTGTATTGCAAACATTTTGAAACCAAAATACCTAAAACAACCTCATGAGCAAGATCAGTTTTTTCATTATTTTTTATTGTCTATTCAAATAAGAATTTTATAAGTAGTTACTAGGTAGTAGGTAACTTGATATTAGTAATATAATCGCAGAAGAACTTTTTTGTAAGATAACAAAATAAGAAGAGTCCTGTAATGTTGTACATAGCTACGTGCTGACCTGTAATGACTTCACTTGTTTAACATTTTGGCTAATATATTAATCTTATGTCATTTTATATTTAGCAAAGTTAAAATCAACCGTATTTATAAATACCTGAGATTAATTCTCAGTTTACCCAGAAGAACCAAATGATCACGTGTGATAACGTTATGGAATATTTAAAAGACATTTTTTTTTTCAATTAAAGAGTCATATTTATTACATTTTGCCTGTAATTTTAAAATGAATTGACATCATAAGTACAGAGGAAAAAAAAGCCATTTTACGATTTTGGTGGGGAATCTTTGGCAAAAGTTGCAGTAGTTTTCTGCTATTTTTGTGGCTAGTCCACTTTTTTATTGTCTTCCTTTAATTAACAAATCAAAGAACCTCACCCAATCCAAGTTATCATTGGTTGACTAACAAAAGTCAAATGATCCTGCAGTACTTTACTGATCACAAGTCTAGCGCTTGGTTTACTCCTTGGAATGGGACGGGTCACACCCTGTTTAAGAATACCTCCTTTGCCTTTGTTTGAATGCAGAGGCCTGAGCTATGCCGAGAGAGCTCTGTATAGCCCTGGCTCTGAGGAAGGCTAATTTTGTTAGCCGAAATATTGGCCTGTAATAAATCAGCCCTTTGCCGTAGTGCCAGCCCTCCATTAAGTTTTGTTTTAGCATATTGCAGGTCTTACTTACCAACTAAGAAGTTTCATCTCTCCTATACATGTAGCCTGCTTGAAGATGTCTGCTATTTTCTTGGTTGCACAAAGAAAACGTTTTATTTCCACATTCAAAAAACCAGAACAAAGGACATAAACGTTTCTCTCCCAAATCGAAACAGAATACCGTATTTACTCGAATAAACGCCGCCCCCAATATAATCAATATTAAAAGACGTTAATTCTGCGGAAAATAATAATACCGTAGTTAGAACAATTCTTTGTTGCGTCCAACTTTCAAAAAATAAGCGCCGTATTTGAGTCCAGGAAAATTAAATAACGCCGCGGCGCTTATTCGAGTAAATACGGTATATATTTATTTTTTATTTTTGCAGTAAATGTGCAAGGGTGGGCAATCTTCGCGAGCAGTAAATGAGCGGCAGCGTATGGCAGTCTCAACCTCGTTCTCAGGGCTGTTGAGACCCTGGGAACGAGGTTGCGGCGGTCCTGATTTGCATAGTCGCTGGGACACCTGCTCAAGCTTGTTCTGGGAAAAACAGATGTGAAAGAATAACAAATTTATTGTAAAAGAGTTCGCTAGCTTGGAGAAACAACATAGAACCTTAGTTTGAATAAAAACGTGTTCTCTAGCAATAATGTTTACTCCAGAAGACTCCATAGAAGAATGCAAAGAAGCGTTTTATCTCTACGATCGACGAGGAGACAAAAAAGTTGAATCAAGCCAGATCGGAGAAGTTATGCGAGCCCTTGGCACAAATCCAACTGAAGGAGAAATTGCAAAAATAATTCGCAGTCTCGATCCTGCTGGAACTGGAGCCAAGAGAGTTAGCTTCGAAGAATTCTTTCCAATTTATCAAAATCTGCGTGATAGGCAGAAAAAACGTGGAGGTAAGTTTTATATCACAAGAGTTTATATTCATTGCCGCCTTGCTTCAGGAAGTGAGCTTAGCTTAAATATTTTTTCTGATTTTATTGTTCCGTATCGCATTTGTGTTTGATAACTCTTCAGCGCAAACTAAGATAACCCTTTTTTTTTTCTTTAAGCGAACTGAGCTTATAATTTTCAGGCTCAAAGCTTGACGAATCGATAGCAAAAGCTATAGCGTACCTTACCTTCCTTTATACTACCTAATAACAAAAATATAAGTTACTTAATATGCATTGAAAAATTAAAATAAAAACAGAATCAGTAATAAGCTCAACATTTTTGTCGCTCTGCATTGAGAATGGGAACTATTTTGAATCTCTTTAAGAAAGCTTGAAATAATGAAGTCATATCCGATCTAGTAAAAAATATATATATAAATAGCTGTAAATAAAAAGAAATGACCATCGTTTATTACGTTTCCAGCAAGTTTAACAGTTATGTCGACTAGCGAGGCCTTGATATGAGTTTTAGGAATTAAGTATATCTAGCCTCATGAGAAAGGGGGAAATGACTTGGAAAATAATTACGCGCGGAGCTTAAGGCTAATTTATTGATTTCAAAAAAGGAATAAATAAAATCAATATTTTCAGGACAGTCTGGGGGTTCTGGGTGCTCTGGTATATTGACATGCAATCGCTCGTGATAGACACGCACCCAGTGCAAGTCACGTGTAGATCGTCATCTATGTAATTTGGGTTAGGATTTGTGTTTTAAAGAGTACACATTGCCACACTCACCATAGAAAATAAAAAAGTCATTTTGCTTTCAAGTATTCTCTGCATCATGATTGTCAAAAATCGAGCTGCATGTTCAAATTCAACGCTGAGGTTGATAAAACGGCAGTTAGAACTTTGGTGTGGTCTTTGGCTGATGACTAGTTTCTAGTCGCCCTAATAACCAGTTTCTTTGAAAAAAATCAGGATTAAATTCAAACAGTTCTGCCAAAAACTTTACTGTGGTTGCTTCCAGGACCCCAAAGATCTATCTATATAGTGCGTGGGTGTGTATACACGCTCCTCTTTTAATAACCAATCTCCCTTTCAAGGCTCTCAGTAGCTGAAATATAACAACCCCTTGTCCTCGTTTTTGTTAATCTGAAATTTCTTTTATCCCTCTACGGGTTTTCAAGCGTAATTCACATTTTAAAAATAGATTCATGTCTGATTTTATTTTTAGTTGATCCGGAGTATTTCATCGAATGCCTTCGAGTGTTTGATCGCAACTGTAATGGATTAGTTAACGCGGCAGAGTTGCGTCACGTGCTCTGTAGCCTTGGTGATAAACTGTCTGCAGAAGAGGTTGATCAACTTTTAGTTGGCTTCGAGGACAATCAAGGACAAGTGCTGTACGAGGAATTTGTCAAGCACATTATGTCGGGATGAAAGCTTGGTTTCCGAGAACCATGAAAAACTTGACTGTTAATCTATCATTTCTAGGTTTGGCACTTTTAATAGGCCTGTTCGTTAGCACTTGGACGAACTGAGAAATAATGAAGAATTTTTTGCTACTTTATTTTGCATTGTTTATTTATTTATTTATTCTTTTTTTATTTTCTCACATGTCTCTTAGTCTTTTT